TACAGTATTTTGATTTCGAATTTCGAATATAGATTATTGGCTCTTTTGGTTCTTGATTTCTCGATCTTGATTTTGGCATCTTGCTCAATAATCTTGATTGTCGTGTTCTTCAATTTGATTGCTCCAATCATTCTGCTTGATTCTTGATTTGAGTTTTTTTATTTTTCATCTTCAATATGCTTTCTTTTATATTCTCGTATTAATGAGAAGGCACAAAGAATGAGAATCAAATATAACTTGGATGAAAAATGCTATGTGTACACTCATGGTGTACACACGGCTTTACACCCCCTCACATGGAGGGGGGCCGACGAATATTTTATTGTGTGTGGACCCTCCTCCATGTGAGAGAGTGTAAAGCCGTGTGTACATCATTATGTACACGTAGCATCTCCCAAATTGGATATCATAATCCTATTTATAGTTTCCATGTGTATTTGGTAAATTATCAAATACAACGCTAATGGATATGATCTCTACATGTATAATCGATTCACACTTTATTTAGATGTCCTAAACCCAGTGATTCAATTCTTTATTATATCACTTTAATTAGGTTCAACTTTAAGATAATGTTATATACAATTAATTACATATGTAAGTTCACATGAGAAATTAATAAACTAGCACGATTTTACATCTTAGTTTATTCATGGACAAGAAAAACGTCCAAAAAGTCAATAAATCAATTTATATTTTATCAGCATGCATGGTGGACTTCAAATTTTGAAAAATATATTTGATTATATCTTAATCTTAAAAAAATGGTTAAATTTTGTTTAAATGTTAGTATAAATGCTAAATATTTACAAATATATGATATATAAATGCTAAACTAATTATTTGCTAACATTAATTCTTGTTAGCAAATGAAAGGAACTCACAATGCAATGATCTTTTTAATTGAAGCATGTGTTTACGGGTCATTTGTCTTTCTAAATTAATAGGAATTATGAAATTCTTAGTTAGGTCGTCTTCAAAATCTTTTCAATATTTGATAATAAAAGAAATTTGAAGTCTATCGATTATGGAGCGTGTTAAGATAAGAAGTAGATTAGGGCTTGTTTTAAAAGTTTTAACAGATTTTGATAAAAATGAATGAAAAATGTGATCGAAAAGTTGAAAAAAAAATTGTGAACCCTACGAATATTTGCTTAAAATTAATTATTGACATTCACTCAAATTTTTTAGCAACTTTTTATTTTTTTACAAACAAGCACTAAATTTACATGATGAAGTGGATTGTGCACACTTTCTGACTATATCTTCATGAAATTATTTACAAAAATATAACAAAACAAACTTATTAGTTATTGATAAAATTAATAAATTCAGCAATAATTCACATACTAATTTAGTAATTTACTTGTGGACAAAAGTCGATATATCAATTTGTCGACATGTTTGTCAGTGGACATCAAATTTTAGTAAATGCTTGGCCATTATCTTAGTCTTAAAACGGGGTCATAATTTGTTTAAATAGTGTAATAAAATACTAAGCATTATAAATGTATATTCGATTAATATTTGACCCATTTGAATGAGACAAGAATATTTATATCGTGCCAATGGTAAGTTGACGTGTCAAGATAAAGTTTGCCCAAAGACCTTACTTTTACGAAAAGAAATTAAAGATAATTGGAAGTTCCAACCCATGCTTCTATGGTAGGGTGCGGAATTTTCAAGCTCCACTAAAAGGGAGAATTCTAGAAATACATTTTTATTTCTTGAATATCAACTGAAGAATTGTACAAAATAATATGAAAATTGACAATCAATAAATGTAGTAAACGAGAAAGAAATAGTCAAAAGTTCACATACATTTGCCCTCATGATTAGAGCATAAAACAAATTAGTTGACATTTCCCCAGATTTTACTACCGAATATATAATAAGTCGTGATGGTTTGTTCAAGTTATTCGATTCTTGATTGAGCAATTTGAGATTTTATTTTTTCCCATCCTGATGTTGGAGGAAAAATAGCGAATTGAATCAGACGGGACTGTAGGGTGAAGTAGAGACTGTTCATTTCAGCCCATTTGATTGCATTCACCTTTGGGAACAATACATAAATCCTANCGATCTACTCCGGCGATAGTTCCGGCAATCTTTCCAGCGGCCACTCCGGTGACAATTCCGACAGCCGCTCCGGCGACTATTCCGAAGATCACCCCGACGCTCTCTCTGGTGGCTATTCACGATCTCTCTGGCAAACTGCTCCAATGACCACTCTTCACGATCTCTCTGGCAAACTGCTCCAATGACCACTCTAACGCATACTCCGATCAACCTACCCACCCCATCCACCAATTCCTAACTTCCAAAAAATTTTCAGAATTTCAAGTCACAATCGATCATAATTAACCAATCACAATCGATCACAAACGGTCACAACGAGTCACAATTAACCAGTCACAATCGGTCACAAATGGTCACTGGATCCTGTTTCCAGGAAGTGGATGACCTTGTTTAAACAAACAAAACATGGGCAA